TAGAGACAGAACTGCAACTTGAACCATGGGTTTTTTAAAGTCCCATGTTCTTCCTACAAAATCATACAGTTTTCGGTGCTACCACCTGCCTGGCAAGTATAAGTTCCTGAGTTCGATCCCCAGTACCAAAACAAACAAACAATCATACAGTTTTCATGAGTGCATTCTGCTTGATTTACTATTTCATAGGTGCTGTTTATATTAACAGCTAACGATTCACGTATTTGTCAAGAATTCTTAGGTATATCAATACTAAGTTCATTAATGAAAATGAGTTTTATTTTGGTGAAGAGCACTAACTTGAGGGGTTCTCTTGCTGTTGTAAAGATTGTAAAGTCTTCCGCTTTCCTGACTGGACGCACTTGTCTTCAGTTCTTAGTCTGAGCCCGTGACCTTTGCGGTGGAGACTCAGTGGAGGCAGTCAGAGGAGAGCTTCCACATAGGCCCAGGCACGTGACCCGCCTTCTGAGCCCCTTCCCTGCGTCCTGCTTGGGGTGTACTTTGCCACTTGTTGCTTCCGTTTTCTGCTCATCTGTTCCTTTCATCACCATCAAACATACCATCATTTTAACCAGGCGTGGCCATGCGTGTGTGTAATGCCAGCATTCAGGAGACCGAGGCAGGAATACCATAGGAAGTTCTAGGCCAGTCTGGACTACAGAAAGCAAGCAAAACCAAAAGCCCCAAGTAAGAATGTATTTTGGTCACCATTAAAAGAAAGTGCTATCAGTTCCACATTTCTTTTACCTCATTTCTTTTACTTTGACCTTCCTTTGAAAGAGATATATCCACTTTCAGTCTTCAGTTGCTTTTTCCCTTCAGTCTGGAACCTACTTTCATCAGACATTAACACATGCCACCAGAATTGCTCTTACTAAGGTATGAGACTTCACATTGCTAAGCATGAATCCAGGATTATTTCGATGATTTCGGCCTGAGAAATGGAAGAAAAGAATCTGTATTACCTGAGATGGTAATGACTATAGGAGTAGGATTTGAGGGGAACATAAGGAATTTGGGCTAGGATGTATTCAGTGAGTAATATGTCAGACATCCACTAGGAGAAAGTGAGAGTTGAGAAGGGTTCTGGGTTGAAGCTGCACATCTGGAGGCTGATGTCATTTATAGCTTTTGCTAACTTATTATGCGATCCTTTAAAGTTAGGTTTACGGGGCCGGGGATTTAGCTCAGCGGTTCGGTGGCCTGCCTTGCAAATGGAAGGACCCGAGTTCAATCCCCAGTACCAAAAATAAAGAAAGAAAGAAAGAAAGTAAGTAAGTAAGTAAGTTAGGATTAGCTGGATATGGTGGCACATGCCTGTAATCTCAGCTACTTGTGAGGGTGAGGCCGGGGGGAATCACAAGTTCAAAGCTAGTTTGGGCAACTAGCAAAACTTTCAACATGAAAATAAAACCAGGCATGGTAGTAATTCCAGTACTGGGGAGGCGAGGCAGGAAGATTGCTGCAAGTTTGAGCCCAGCTCAAACATAGTGACTTCAAGGCCAACCTGAATTACATAGTGAGGTCCTACCTTAAAAAAGATTGGGGGCCAGCTAGTGTTACAGCTTCACGGTACAACACCCCTGGGCTCAATTCTAAGTATCTCATACAGTCACAAAAAATGTTTAGCTGGGCATGGTGGCACATGCCTGTACTTCCAACATTTGCTTATAATCCCAGAACTTGGGAGGCTGAGGCAGGAGGATTGCCATGAGTTGGAGGCCAGCTTGGGCTGCGTAGTGAGTCCAAGGCCAGGATGAACTACATAGTGAGACCCTGTCTGCCAAAATTTTTTTGAAAGTTAGGTTTAGGGCTGGGGATTTAGCTCAGTGGCACCATGCCTACCTTGCAAGTGCAAGTCCTGAGTTCAATCCCCGGTACAAAAAAAAAAAAAAAAAAAAAAA